TTTTTTTTAAATGCATTAAATATGACTTTGAATGTAATATTGTCATAAATAGAAGCTGATCAAAAACTTCATTTAATAGCTTTTTATTCTAAAAAGCTTTCAACAATCAAAATCAATAATAAGATTTTTAACAAGAAACTTCTTATAATTATAGGTTCATTTTAAGAATGGCTCTATTATATATAAAGAGCTTTTAATTTAGTAATTATTTACATATATTATAAGAAATTTGAATATTTTATATCAACAAATATTTTAAATTATTAATAAGCTTATTAGAATATAACTTTATTAAGATTTGAATTCAAGATCATTTATTGATTGCAAAAGCAATAGGGCTTATTAAATGCCTATTCTAGACACTCTTATCTTGCACCAAAAAAAAGAATTGTAGCTTTTTATCAATAACAAATTATTCTTTTAAAGCCAAAGAAATTTCATATTCAAACTATAAAATCAACATTAATTATTGATTTAACCTTTCTTAATCAAGTCCAATTTAGTATGTCCTTAGATCTTCTTTTTTTATATTTAAAATAATCCATCTAAATTCTTGGTATATTTTTCTATTCAAAAATCAACTTTTTATGCTAATTAAAATTATCATCTATGATTTGATACTTTTGAATTTTCAAAATCTGATAATCTTATAACAAAAGATTTGACAAATTATTTATCAAAGCTACATGAAATATGTTTTTTTTCAAATAGATAGTGAAATACATCATATTTAATATTGCAACCTTAAAAGAGACTTTTAATATTTGGTGATATTATTGGAGGTAAAAACTACCCTTATTGGTGTTTTAAATATTTTATTGAAAGAAATTTATAGAAGCTTCAATAATGATCAAACCTTAAGGTGATCTTTCTATCATAATATAGAATACTATTGATGGCTGAAAGGACCTATCAATTGCTTTTGAAGGGAATAAAAATCAAAATATATAGCAAATACAATTATTTCATCTTCAACTTCTTCAATACGCAATCACTACTCTTCATGGAACTTATCTCTAGAAAAGAAAATAATATCATGGATATACATATTTATTAAGATTAAAGAAGTAAATAAAAATAAATTAACTTAATAATATCATAGAAAAAAAATTCATAAGAGCTTCATAGATGTGGATTTGACTTTATATGTATTTTTAAATGATGGATAGGTCAAAACTTGGCCAATAAGTTGGTTACATATCACACATATTGGCAATTCATAAAAAAAGTGTACCACTTTCTATATATATATATATATATATACATAATTATTTTTTATAAAGTAAACATGTTTATTATAAGTTAGATACGTGTCAAAAGTCTTAATTAACACCACTATGTAGCTCTTACTTAGTTAGTCAATATAGAGGCAAAAGTGTGGCCTTTTTTATTCTTCTAAATACTTTTTTATTCTTACTTTTGTTTTAAAAATTTCTAATCTTTTTTTAGTAATTACTATTTTAATATTAATATTATATTATTTTTAAATAAATATCTATTTTTTTGAGTGCCACTATGATGTATTGATGGTTTGATTGTTTATAAGTTATGTCTTTCACAACAAAAATCAAGAATTTGATGACAAGAAGTCTTAGATTAAAGGCGACGCTAAAATGGATTCAAATATTTCCTACATTTATGTAGATATAATATTAATAAACATATGTTGAAGCCATCTAATAATCTTATAATTATAGTAGAAAAGATAAGTGTTTTTTTATCAATATCTATCAAAATCAAGATGAAGAGTCAAGCAATTCTTTGTTATGAAGCAAACAAGGTTCAATAAAGATTACATTCTATCTTCTATCATGATTTGTGATTTCTTTATATTTGTAGTACTAAAAAGATGGAAAATCAACAACCAACAAATCCAACTCAAGAATTATCCTTTTCTAAATTATTAGATGAAACATTAAGATTGTCACAGCTTTTAAGACAATGTAATAGAAATAAAGATCTCTAAAAATATCATGTTCTTACTTAAATAAATAGTGAGATATAACTTGTTTAATATCATGACTTTGGAAGAAACTTTTGATATCTCAAGATTATATTGGAGATAGAAACCATACTTGATGGTGTTCCAAATGTATTGTTTGAAGGAAGTTATAAAGACCTCAACAATAATCTAATATTAGGATAGTCTTTTTTCCTTGATATGGAAAATTATTAATAATTGAGAGAACTTATTAACTACTTTTGAAGGAAATAAAGATTAAAATATGTAGTAAATATAATTTTTCCCATCTTAGACTACTTCATTATATGATCATCTTTTTTTATAGAATTTATTTTAAAAAAAAAGAGTAATATTATAAATATACATATTTATTCTAGTAATTATCTAAATAATATAAAAAATTAGAAATAATTAAAAGTATGTAATTAATATAATATCTTGTGAAAAAACTTCTTAGAAGCTTTATGATGCAAATTCAATTTTATACATGTCTATATGTGATTAGAAGGTTAAAAACTTGGCCAACAAGTTGGCCATATAGTGCATATATAAGAAACTTGTCTTGTAAGTTAAACACATGGAAGCAAGAATAAGACCTTTATTCTTGCCAATTCATTTTCTACTTCTAGTCTATTTACAAAAAACTCTAGTCTTCTAGCCTTTGGCAATAGCCATTCCAGTTTTTTCTTGAATACATACTTACTTATTTCTTTATTTCCATCTCTCTTTAATATATGTCTCACTTATTTATATACATTCTTTGAATTTTTGTCTTGAAATCTTATTAGAAATAATATATATATATAAAATATTACTATATTTATTCTATTATTTTTTATAAGTATATTTTGAATACACTTAAGCATCTTAAAATAAAATAGAAAGATACAATATTATTATTTTTATCTTAGCTAATAAAAGATAAATGTAGCAATTCTATGAGCCAAAAAATATCTTTTTAATTTGAAATTTATACTAATTTATATTATATAATTTATATAAATTCTTTTTTATTCATTTAGTTATTATTATAACTATATATTTTTATAAATAATTCATAAAAGAACAAACGTATTTAGATATTCAACTACTTATACATGTGCAAAATTAAATACTTATAAAAAATCAAATGTTTATTAAAAATAATACTATATTATATTTATGTTTAAAATTAATATATAAAATAATTAAAATTTATTTTAATTCAATAAAATTTTATATCTATTATTTATTTTATTAGGATCTATCTATATTTTATATTTTTTTTAAAAAATAGAATATTAGTATCATATTTTTTTTAAAAGATAGAATATTAGTATCATATTTTTTAAAAAAAATACAATATTAGTATTATATTTTTTTAAAAAATAGAATATTAGTATCATATATTTTTTTAATCATATTTCTATATTATTTTTATTTTAATATTTATTAATTTAATTTTTATATTTAATATTTTTCTAATAATAAAAAAAAACTTGTAATTGGAGTAATTGGAGTAATTATTTTATTAAAAAATAAAAATAAAAAATAACATAAAAAATCAATTAATAACCTTTGAAGCTCTACTTTAACACCACATAAGAATATCACTAATTGTGATATCTCTATCCAACTATTAGATCATAGCATGCAATTCACAATAAATAAAAATTTAATATAATTTGGAGTTAAGACTTTTAATAAGGATAAATACACGTATACCTCTATTTTTTCTCAAAGTCTTAACCACATACCTATATAAATAATATATCAATGATCCAAACATGCAAAGGAAAGAAATATAAATTGAACATGTTAAGAGAATACATTTGGGATATGAAATAGAAGCAACTTGAAATTGCAATGTCTCCTTTGTTGTTCAATTGGAATTAGTCCACTTTTGTTAGTCATTTGTTATATGAGTAGGTTGACAGATTTTGGGATAGTACCCTTGCAAATGGTATGCCTGCAAATACTTATAATTAATTTATTTTTTAGTTAAGAGAGTTGATGCAAAGTAAAAAAAAAAAGAAAAAAAAAAAAAGAAAAAAAAAAAGAAAAAAAAAAAACATCTCATTTGAAATACTTGAAATTCGTTTGCAATTCAAAAATTTGTTGAAAACCACATGTTCTTTGGCCTCACATTGACTTCCTAGACTTTTCAGCTTGTGGGCTTACCATCTTTGGCAGTTTCAAGGATGAAAGTAGGACTTTCAAAAGAGGAAATTTTCCTGGGGGTTGGTAGGTCCATGGAAGAAAACTATACAAGCACAATGAGACATGGGCAGTGATAAATTGTACGCATCATATGCCAGATTGGCATGTGGGATTAAAGGTACATTCCATTCTGGATTCTAGAATCAGCTGCCCAGGTAACTTTGGACCCCGTGAGGAACAGTAGCCAACAATCTCCTTTCCATGCAAAGTTATCCTGTATTTAACCTTCCACTTGGAGCAAAGTGCACAAGACGCAGCAATTGAGAATATGCATTAGCTTGCGAAATGAGCGTTGGCCGTATTAATGGACCAAGGTTCCAGTAGGGCCACCCTTTGAAAGGTGTAAAGCAACTGATATTGCTTTTAGCGTGCACCTTGCCAGTTCCTTGTCCAAATCCTTCAGAGCATCTTTCTTTTTTCCATATTTATCGGAATTCCACAAACTCCATTTGTTTGTGTAACACTTTTCCTGCTCAGCCCGCCTGCAATCTGCCTCGGTGTTTGTTTCCAAGGGGTATTCGAAGAGTTGTGTAGTTCTGACCAAACTGCTGACTTTGGCCTGACATTTACTTATCCAGTTGGGATTTCAAACTTCCAGGAGAACATCTTACCCGATAATTGGAGATGGTGTCAGCTTTCTAGTTCGCAGCTATCCATGTGCTGAAGAAGCCTTTTATGACCATAATTTCGAAAGAACTAGTAAATGGTATTAAAATGGAAATAATAATGTGTTCAAACGGACTGACGAACAATATTATTTTCATTTAGCTAGGTGCATTCGTGTTAAAAAAGAACAGTATTTTTATCAGTTACACATCGCAGTCACAAAGACCACTACTTCCACAAACAGGTATTTCCAGCCATGTTTATCAGAATCAGTTACATGAAGATTTAATAACAGAACAAGAGCCTAGTTGAGAGATATTTTGGCGCACCGTCTACAGAGAGTTGGAGACAAAGTAAAATAGATCAACGTGATAAAAGAGTTCTGTAAAACGGAGGAAGAAGATGGAGGAAGCTGAAGTACATTGTTATGGAGAAGGTACACTATCCACGGTTCCCCCAATCCTTCGAATAAAACGGGGCTAGACATCAATTATGAATGCTCCTAAAGAATTCCTTTTTTTCAATCCCAAAAACAGTGTGTAATGAGAGGCAGTCCACACACAAACTTGGAAAATATCTACAAATTACACAGTGCTCTTTACACTCGTTTACACAGTGAACAGGAACAATTCTGCAGCAAGAAAATGAACTCTCGTCTCAGGTCCAGGTTCCTCTTTATACACTTCCCACGTAATGCTCCCATTTATGACCAAATGAAGCAGTCGACAACTAGCAAGTACCCGGTCCAAAAGAGTGGTCTGTAAGTCCTGACACATCCAAACACACGATCAACAGCAGATAGAATAGCACATACACTAAACAAGAAAGTTCACACCAAGCTTCTAAGCATTGACAGAAAGACCACACTGAAACTGAACGTAACCGTACAAGTATCTTCAAAACTATTCCGAGGACAGTATGAAAACGACAGTTTTCGTCATTACAAAATCCCCGACTGGTAAGTCACCTACCTCCAATAAAAAAGTTGCCAGGCTTAGAAGGTAGACTCCTCGATCAAACGGCACAACTGCTTCAACTTCAGGATTGAAATTAGCAATCTCATAAACAGTAATTAATCAGTAAAGGTCATATGCTGGTCGCCATTATGCGGTAGATACTGATTCATGTGCTGATTTTGCAATTCCTGATATGAATAATCCTCGACATCAGGGCTGGTATGAAACTCTTGTGGACTTGCTTGTTGAAACTGCCCAAGCTTCTCGGCCTTGATTGTCCCTTCAAGTAAACGCCGGTACTGGTCTCGGGCAGGCTGAGATCGCACCATCGTCTGGACTGTCGTTACTGCTTTCTCAACAGCCTTCTCGGCTAGTTTTCTTCCCTCTTTCAAAAACTCTTCGTCGTCCTCTTTAGTATCAATGCCAAGGTCCCCGCTCTTGAAGCCCCGAAGACCTGATCTTTTGCGTCTCCACCGTAGTATAACTTTATCTAAAACCCCTACTGACCATAAGAGCTTCTTGAACCGCCTCCTAACCAAGTTTCCACGTACATGAGCCTGAATCCTCACCACTCGCTGCCGTAGATTCACGAAGTCCTTGCGCACCTTCCAACTCCTGAACTTCTGCTGTATGCGACTAGCAGCCAGTTGTTGCTTCTTCTCCTGATGGCCTCGATAAGCTTTTTGTATTCTCTGAGCAGCACGAGCTGCAACAAATCCACGCATTTGACTCTCCGTCATACCATACTCGTCAAACTTCATCGATGCCTCTTCTTCTTCTGCCTCCTCCCTCTTCCGGAAAGAGTGCTGGCGGAACGCTGCTTGTATTAAGGCAGCTGCTCGGGCAGCATTGCGAACCGCTTGTAATGATTCCTTGATGGACACCGAGTCCTCAGATTTACTTGATAAGGTATGCTTAATGCTATCACGTCTTGACAGCTTTGCAACAGCAGTTTCACCAGCGAACTGGGCATTTGCAACAGTTATAGGACTCTGGTCAGCGAGGCTCATCGCATTTAGACGGCGTGTTAAGCTGCTCTCAGCCAAGAAACCTCCAATTCCGACATGTCCTTTCATTAACGCCAGGTCTGCTGGGGTTTGACCAGATGGACATGAAGGTGTGGGGTCAGTCACCGCCCCTGGATCTGCATTATGTCCCAGCAGAGCGATCACCACTTGTTCCTTCGCGAAAGAAGCAGCCCAATGAAGAGCAGTCCAGCCACGTGCATCCCGAAAGTTGATGGGTACACCAGCGGCCAACATCGGAGCAATTGCCCAATCATAACCCAAAGCCGCAGCCATGTGAAGCACTCCTTGCCCCTGCGCATCAAGGACTGAAGGGCCTTTTCCTTCCTCTTGAATCTTACAGACTAACCACTTCTGCATGCGGGACTTGAGCAACATTTGGAGTAAACGATCGTGAAAGTTGATATCTTGCGAGTGATCAGAAGTATTTGCGAGATTTTCCATTTCCTGCCAGTCAGAATGGCTGTGGGAAGAGGAGAAGGGACTCAAGCATTGCAACTTCATATCTGTGGCATCGTCCAATTGTCCAGGATCTTCATCTGACTCAGCCAGCAGTAATTGCGCCAACCGAACCTTGAGCAATCTTTCCTCGGTTGCTTGACGCTCTACTTTCGTGTCAGGGACAACCCTACCACCAGCACGATACTCAAACTCGCGAATCTCACTATGGGCTTGACGGTCGCCACAAGTGACATAAAAAGAAACCCTTCCAGGAGCATGTGGAGGTGCCTTACACCTCAGTACCACACCATTTATAACTTCCGCAGGAACCTCCACTTCTCCAAACATACAGTGCCATTTAATATCGGAAGCATTAGCATAGTCCCCTAAGAACACACCTGAGACTAGAACCTTAGCACCTTCAGAGGCATACGCCCACTCTGGCGAAGAATCCGTGATGCTATATCGCTGATCAGCCACAACCGAAGTACTAAGACTGGCATCGACTTGCATTTGATACATATCATCAGGTAAACCAGGAAATCCCATCGTTGGTGTGCCAGGCCAGCTAGATTGAAAGGCACCCGGGCTTGGAAAATTTTGAGCTTCCAACGTATGACTCATCCAACGTCCAAAGCTATCCAATTTTGGGAAAGGCTCACTCTCCGGACTTTTTTCCATAGGAGATTTCCTTTCAAACTGCAAATCCAGTTGCTGCGATTCAGATCTCATGCCGTACAATCTTCTTTGATATAGACCAGCGCTTTTAAGAGCTTTTTCTTGAGTCACAGCCTGCAAACTAGCTTCTAGTGGTGTTTGAGGCTCCCGACCTAGACCTCTCGGAGACAAAGCCTCCAAAATACCCTTCGACGGGGGGACCAGAGAAGAGCCAAGATCCTGTGTGCGAGGCGAATCGCTCATTTCGAGCTGATTGTTGTTCATAAGCGACTCCATGATATTCCTGTGAGTTGATGGAGTAGTGCATTGCTCAAGGATATCAGACCACATTGTAGCCCCACCCATACTTTCCTGTTTCACGTACGTAGGAGGTCCGCTTGCGGTATGCGGTGCAAAAGGCCCATCCGAACTTTGCCCAAAGGTACTATTATTCCTCGTGTTATTATCCATCATTTGACGACTCCACCCAGCGACATCAATAGCCCCTGTGAAACTTTCCTGTCGCTGACCGTTCGAAAACGGCTCTTGTGTGCCAAACATATCCGGAAATTGATTATTTCCAAGCTGCTGCTTGTCAGATGACTGCTGGGGAAATGGTCCTATTCTAGGTGTCAATCCAGTAGGAGCGTTCAGAAGATTTTCCAGACTTGAAGTGCCAACTCTATTTGAAGAGGGCATCCACATATTGGAAGCAGCACTTCCACCTCCTATCCAGCCGTTCATGAGGGAGTTGTTCAGGTCTGCGGAAGCTCGAGCCGAGGGAGTAAGCTGGTCAAGCAGAGTGTCTTGAGGAGCATTTGGAGAAACGATGGGATCCAAAGAGCTATGCTCTTCGACTTCTTCAGACTCGATCACATCGGCATCATCCTGGTCCAATTCGGGAGAGGTAGCTGGGTTAGACACCTCGGGAGGGCTGGCGGCATGAGCTGCTGGAGCACTATGTTGCGAATCACTCATTGTAAACCTGCCTCCTTCCGTGACTTCCCTGTAGTGAACGAGCACAATATGTTCCAGTGAAGGGTCAAGCATCCAGTAGCACCTTCTCTGGAAACTGGAATTATCTTCGCCATGAGCGTAATAACAATGTAAAACATCAACACTGCCAGTTTTGAGTCGCTCATGCGCCTCCCGCACAGTCTTCCCATCCTTCTTCTTACGCCAGTTGTGACCATCTTTGCGGAAGTATCTCAAAGTTTTCCTGTCAAACAGAAACATGGATCCACTACAGGGACGAACTGGCGGAACGGGGTTGAGTTTAAATCCATACTTTACATAGTTCTTAAGGATCTCGCACACTTCAACGGGCCGTAACCAGCGAGTCTGAGCTTCTGAAATGATTTGGCGAATGTCGATGTCGGGCTGTTGGGATCCAGAGCGTGACCGCGAAGCAGCCATGCTTCCACGTTGACTGATTCCAAGGTATATGATGCTCCAAAAACCAACAATACTGGGCTTCACTTTCACAAATATTACCAAACGTACGTTATCTAACACCTATACAATAACCTCAGATAATCTTCATCGTACCAACCACGCCAACGAACGGAAGACGACGACCACACAACTTGTGCTCTCACATGGTGCTGCCTTTACGTGCACAGTAATCAACTTATGAAGCTATCCCCAACCGTCAGCATGCCAGGAATACCACAATGTCGAGAGATCGCAGTTCCCGCTTCCTTGATTACCTCAAATCACAGTCGACCCCAACACCACCCACATGCGCAGGCTAGGGTTCAAAGTATCCCCAAAGAGATTCTTCACTGCACACAGAATAGCCAGCGAAAGAGTACCACTAAAGAGGTTTTCAGTATCTACTCAGGCATAGAGAAGCTTCGCACACGACTTTGTGACTGGCAGCTCCCCGTATCAGAGTGTGTCAGAGCCTTTAATGCACCAATTTCACGCTTCTGATGGGTGCAAGTGTTCAGGAAAAGTTGATGAAAAATCAGGCACTCTCCTAACCATCGTCGTAAGCTTATGGGCCCAACTCTTAACCCAGTTGAATGTCTGCTTAGCCCGTTAACAACAAAAAGTTAGAAGCAACCCAAAAACCCACAAAACTTGCACTATTGCCTGACAGCAAATATAGAGAGCTTCCGGGTGAAAATCGCCCAACTGCCAGGGCAAAACACACAAATTGGGAACCTGAATGCCCAATTAGTGGCGCATACAAAGTCCCCTCAACCTAGACACGACCCCGCACTTCGGAACTCCAAAACCTCTCCAGAGCATCGCCTAACTAAAACCGCCGCAAGGAGTTGCTGGTCGGCAGGAAGAGACATACCCCGACGCTCTTTTAATCGGCAAAGGCGCCCTGCATCAGCAGTTGAGAGCCTCTGGTAAACCCGAGCGAAGACTGCGCGAAGAGTGCGGTAGATTAAAGGGCGAGTTCTGTGGAAGCGACTGGGGCAGGGGAGCAATCGTCATCCATAGCTGAGGAAGCCACGGCAACGCAGACCCACACCAAACCATAGCCTGCCCGCATGGGAAAGCGGGAAAAAGCCCTTTCACCGGACTCGGTGTGAACGGTGTCAAAACTGAACGCGGTGGCGGCCCGCAAAGTACGGCCACGTTCCCCTACTGAACCCTGTGAAGGGCGGTGCTGCTTGGAGGAGGTGGGATCTGAGAACCTGATTGGAATGAGGCTTGGTCCTGGCCATGTCTTGGATGCTGTTTCCATGGGAACTGTTCCCCTCTAGCGTTCTCTGTCGTTCCCCCACTCCTCGTGCTTTCTTCCACCTACCTACTACTCTCCGACCCAGAGCATGACCCATTCCCTCCACCTTATTGTTCAACCCCGGTCGTGGAGATCTCGATAGGTGTTTATTCTCCCTCGATGTCATTGTCATCCTTGCCATGTCATCTTTTCGCGTAATTTACCTCGTGATTAAAATATTTGATACAAATGTATTGATACCCGGTAGGTTCGCGCGTCCCTCTTTGACCTCAACCATCCAAAAGAAGATAACTTCAACCTCTCACAAATTCATCCTTACACAGAAACGAACGAATGAACATGGAACTAACGCACAGAGAACGAATGAATATTCGACGAACGTGCTTCATCTCCGACAACAAGAGTCGCGTGGGCGAGCGGGTCAGCGGGCATGCACAGCCGCGGCGGATTCGAAGCGGATGCGTGAGGACATGGATTACGTCTGCGTTGAAACCCGTTCAACGTCTGCAGTGGTCTTGACGCAGTCGTGTTGTTGTTGGTGCAGCAAGCAATGCTTCCACCAATGTTCCTGACCCAATTTGGCGGGCGGGTTTTCTGCGTTGGACTGCACGTTGCCAGGTTCCCTCTCGCACTGCATTATCTACCAGTGCTGTTGTGGTGAGTCGCCGTGGCGCGTGCGCGAAGCCTGGATCGATGGGCTGCGTCAGTTTCTGATCGCAGTTCGGCGTGTTCTCAAGTTCAGCCGCCTCTCGGACTCGAGCTGGAGCTTCGAAGCCCTCGGAATACTACTTATGGAGAAACGTGCCTCGATTTTCGATGTCTACTATCACCTGCATGGCTCTCGAGTCTTGCCGATGGCGGCGAAGCTCAGTGAAGTTAGAAGAGAGAAATGGGTGCAATGGATTGCTGGGAATGGAATGGATGAGGCAGATTGGCAGGTTGCGAAGCAAGTAGGAGAGCATTTTTCTTCTCCCATGCTGTGTTGTGAATTGCCTCTATGGTGGGTGAATGAGTGGTTTCAAGACTGGCTGTTGAAGCTGAAATTTAAGCTTCGAAGTGACCCTACCGCCGTTGTCGAAGAAGTAAGCCTCTACTACAACTAAAGGAGAAGCTGGTGGACATGGATTTGCAAGTGTCGGTGCCGCGGCAGCTGCCTCCATTTGCGAGGGAGCTTCAATATGAAAGGCCCTGGAAATTGATGGAGGATATTATGGATTTTTCTGCGCACACAATTTTGCACACCTTTATGGGTAACGAGGAGCAAGTATAATAGTGCGCAAAATATGGTGCGCACTTCTCCTTCTCCGGTTACAATTCTACGCTTGGGCGCGAGAGACCGTAGCGGATATGACGTTCGGTGGCCTCGTCCACGCTGCTAGTACAAATAGATTGCTCTGGTGACTTGCCTCGCTTAGATCCATGCTACTTGTCTCGGTTGCCGGTGATCTTGTTGCACCTCCGGAATCAAAGTGTGGTGAAGATGAGAACAAAAGCTACAACGCTGGGAAATGCGAGATTGGAAAGGCAGCATTCGACCAGTCTGCTAAAACCCGAACGCCCTTCATATGTGTGGCATAATTGCATGAGACATCTGAAGAAGAGCTGGCAAATCGCATGTTCATAAATTTTGAGTCCTTGTTCTACTTTCCAGGGTCTAAACTTCGGAACTACGTTTCGTGTCAGGTCCGTGCAGTCTTTGGATTCAAAAGTAAAAAAATGTATCTAAAATACTAAAAGAATTTTTTTTTAAAACTCTTTCCATTTCAAAGCCAGAATAACTACTCTGCGGAAGATCTTGGATAAAAATCCTCGACACAAAAATCATTATTTTCAGAGTGAGTAATCATAGCCTCAAAAGTTTAAATATGAAATTCAGTTTCTGTCGTTACAACATCATAGATCAGAAGCTGAATCTGAGTGATTACGTCGTATCCTCCAACGATGCGCATATGATATCATCACCTTTGATATTCCAGTGTTCCTCATGTTTGCTCAGATAATAGATAATTGCCTAATGACTGATTGCATCCTTTCCAGCAATCTTAGGGAAAATGATAAGTGAGTAACCTGGACAGGTCTTCTGGATCCTCGATCTGGTGACTAGTAGTTTAGTTTCGCACATAACTTAATGTTGAATTCTATATGTAATCGGCAAAAGTAGGATTTTTTCAGGGTGTGGGCCATATTCTGAATTTTTTCATGTGCGATGTTGCAGAACTCGTCATCGGCTAGTAATTTGCTAACTCATTTTTCGAGGAATGCTGGCCACTAGATGTGTTTATTCTCTACTTCACTTGGTAGATGTAATCATAAAGACCGTTCGCTCTACAGGTTTGACTTTGATTGCAGAGCTGTGAAGGCCTATAGTCTCAACGCCAATCTTTGTGGAGCGTGGGATTATCCCGAAGATAGCATGAGAGCTTTTCCGAGATTCTTCTGTTGTAGCTTTTTGGTGGGGGCACACACTCCCCATGAACAGCACAGCCAGTTGTTCAGCGTGTCCAGATCTGAGAAAAAACGCCACAGCAAAACATAACAAATGCAACATCTGGATGTGCTATCCCTAAGAAGGTGCGTACTACTCTCTTGATAAACATTCCCGCAAGTGTCAAGAATGATGTCTCAATCAGACCAATCCTACCAATGTTATGAGGTTGAATCTACGCGTGACTTCACCACAACCTCCAACTACTTGTGTGCAATGGCAAACATTCGGACGCCATTTTTCTAGATCTAGTTCTAAGACTAAAACGATTCTGTATCACCGCAACATCCAAGTACCCTCACATAAAACCTAAAACTTTGTGCTCACCAGTAATTTTCCAGAAAATTGGATAAAACTGCACAGCATTACCTGAAGTTGTTCTGGTACAAACAGTGCACAACTTGACATGGGTAGTGCTGCTAGATGGGCTCTGGAGCTGCAGATTGACTTCGAAGCAGACAACGAAGAAAAACGCTGAGTACCAGTCACTGAACACAACCTTCCATTGCTTCTTGAGAGTTGCAGTGACAGGAGCTGCATCTTGACCAATCTGATCTGTTGCTATTTGCTGTGATTTGCAGAGAAGCTTAAAGAGGGTCTTGCTTGCAAATATGTTCGCACACAAACTGCCCCACTCGGAAGCCCACTTCACCGGGTGTATTCCTTTGTGCCATTGCCAAGTCAGCTCCCCCATTTTAAAAGCACGCCTGCTGTCTAAGCTGGCGTGGAGTTTTCCTTGAGAGTGATCCATCATTTTGATTCTGCAGTAATGAGTCTTTGTGGTTTCATTTTTTATGTTTTAATTTATTTTTAAAATCTGGACGAAGTTTCACACAATGGAACGTAAGAGAAGCGTATTTTAAAAATCTCCGCTCCAACTACTCACACTATTTCCTAAGTAAAAGGAGGGACTCATAACAATCTCATTTTATTTTCATTTTATTCATTATGTGTTCTTTGGTTTTGTTTTGTGAGTGTTCGTCACCTTTGAACAATTATGCATGTGATTTAATACCCCACCCTGCCCCTGCTTATTAATTAACTTATTTATTCTTTGTATGCAAACACAAACACAAATCACATGATGTAAATTTGCAAGCCATACTCACTACATTATTCAAAGCCCGTTACTTGTCACAATTGTCTGTCTATTTTAGTAAAAATTTCATTTCTAATAAACAAAAACCATCCTCGAGTCCACATTTAATAAGTATCAGTATTTTGAAAACTTTGATATTGTATGATATTAACCATTATTTTTAAAGGATAAATTCATTGGTGAGAATAATTATGTGTGTGTGAATATATATATATATATATATATATATATAATTGACAAAATTGGAAAAGTAGGTGGAAAAATCAAAATAAATGAGACATAAATTAGAAAACTGTAAATCATATTTATAAATAATTTTTTTAAAAAATAATCATTACAGTGTTTTACAATAATAGAATTTACATTACACGTGTTTTAATATGTACATAATTTAACGTATACTTGGCTTTGGAACAATTCTTGAAAGTACTGAAAGAAAATAATTAATGCATAATTATTTAAATTTTAAGTCCACCAATCAACACAACACAAAAAAGAAAATTATGAATAGTACTTTTGTAGGAAAGCAAATGATCATCCACAAACGAATGAATTTTCCCACATCCAATCCGAAGTTATAAAACATGGCCATGGGCACGGCATGCTCTCCCTCCAAAAGGCTGAAGTGTGAAAGCGGCAATTCCGAACTCCCAGTAATCTTTGCATTCTTAATACTACGTGGCAACCCTTATTCAAGTCCGGCGTCTGACGTGGATCCTCATAGCTGGAAGTTCGGCAGTGTGAACGGGGGTAGGGGGGCGACGGAGAAGTGAAGAAAAGCTGTGGCAGGGACGAACCCTTCGGCCCATCGCATTTCGGTGTAGTCGGTGTTCTGGCGTTGACGTGTACTGACTGCGGTCACGTTGCGGGGTGAATCGTCGTCGCACTCGCTGCGTTCATTGCCTTTGCCGGAACATTGCGGTGATAACTTGCCGTTGTTGCCACATCATGTCGAAGAGCTAGTTCTCGGTTTTGGTGTAGTTTGAGTGATTCCTTGTGAGGGTAATGCTACCGGTTCCACCTAGCAGTGGAGCATTAGGGTTTGGTGCTGGACACTAATCTCCTGGTTGGAGTGAGCGGGACGGACCGCGAGCGGTGTTTTGGCGTGGGCGGCAGCGAGAACGCGGACGAATCCAGGGTTGTGGCTGTTGTCGGAGTGTGAGAGCGCGTGGGAGAGAGCAGATTCTTGTGGATTACATTCTCTTGAGGGGTTAGGTTTTTGGGCCGGATTTTGTGGCGAAGGTGAAGTAGTGGTGTGGGAAGGGGATGAAGGCGTGGATGCAATCGGGTCTACAGAGAGGCGGACACGTAGAGTGTCGGGACAGATTCTGGCCTTGAGATCATATGAGGGATATCACAGCGCCAGCAGCTCTGTTGAGCGGATAGTTTTTACCGTTCTGTCTCAGGAAGTAGGAAGGGATCAGAGATTTAGAACTTGGGGTTGCGGGATTGGTGTGTTGGAATAGGGTCCCTGTTGGGTTGGAGGTAGAGTACACGGAGTGTTCTCAGCAGCGCGCAGGTTTCCTGGGGACAATCAGAAGGTTCAAGAGAAGATCAGCAGGGACCTCAATTTATTTTTGGTTGGTGTTTCCGTGGGCAACATTAGAGATCTTGTCTGTTAGTGACATCAAGGGAAGGAAGAACCGAATCGAGATTGAAGATTCTGTGAAAAAGGAAAATGTTTTGGCGAGTGTCTGGTTTATCAACCACTTCTCCGGTGAGTTTGACCGTGCAAGTTTTGCAGGCTTTGGTTCGGCGCGTGTACAGTGAAGGCAACTGTTTATTCTATTCTTTCTGTCAAGTCATTTGAATTCGCGTCTGCATGAATTCTGTGGAAATGGCTTGATTTCTCCGGTCGCGTGGCCGCTTTTTACGCATGGATGTGGCAACCAAATGTAGTCATTAAAGCAGATTTTGCTGATATATTAAATCGTGGAAAAAGTTAGCTTACATTTGGCGTATGGTTAGGATGAAGGAACGAATTGTGCAAGGCTTAGAGCCTAGCGGCCCACTAGTTATGTTGCTTACTCTCTGTCCAAGAAGCGCCATAAGTGGGGGTTTTCTTTCGGAGCTCATTGAAGTGTGATATTACATGTAAAACGTTATGCTTGTGAGGAGATTGGTAGTGCGCCTCCATCTTCACAAGCAATGCATCCGTTTTCTGACGTCTGAAGTGTGATCTTTTCTTTTCATTTCTTCTTTTTGTACTTGACGTATACTGAGGTACCTGTTTGTCCGAGTGCTGATACACAACTCAAAATGTTGAGCATAAAATGAGAATTTCTCCTTGTTCTGGGAGGCTTCAAGTGGTGCCACCTAAAAAATTGCCATATCTCTACAGCATACAAAGCTGTGATCTCACTTGATAATTCTGTCCCTAACTGTCTTCATCGTAGTACTTATTGCCCTTACAAATCATGAACTGCTTACCAGGAACTTTGCTACTTAGATCAGAAATTCGGGCACTGGCGTTAAGTGAAGTATCTGTTAAGCGAAACTCTGAGTTGTTATGAGATGTGTAGCTTCTGATGATATGATAGATGATTTCAGGTCTTTTGTTCCTATCTTGAATAGGAAGTAGCGTGTAGTAAACTCACAATCAGAGCGTGTTGCAATGGAGTACTTGCTTGCACATTTGCATTATCTGCTGGCCATTCGTGGTTATTTTTGATACTAGTGCTGATCAGTGGGTGTGCCTATCCGTACAGGTTGAGTCGGTTCTTGATAAAGATGCTTACACCCTGGAAGAGCTCCTGGATGAGGATGAAATCATCCAGGAGTGTAAAGCTCTCAACAGCAGGCTAATCAATTTGTAAGCATTTAAGTTAGTGATTTTGTCTTAGCACATTCGAGCAACCTCATCTATGATTAATTTTTTATGAGCTGTTTTGTGTCGATTGTATTCGCAGGACTGTGACACCTTAAAATGGGATTACTGTTGATTACCTTGACGGATACTATTGATCTTACCTGTAAATCTCTCTGGCATTTGTTCTAGAAGATGAGGTTTGTAACGATGTTGGCACGTGCTAAATTACTTGTGGTTTTATGGGATCAAGCGTCAATTGCCTGTATTTTTAGGTTTATGCACATCAAATGACAAAAGTCCAATAGTCATGCATCTCTAAGTTGTCTTCTTGGTTGTCCACAGCATGCGTGCTAAAACGCAAGTTCAAGCGCTGCTACGTTATGTAGTAGAGGAGCCACCCAAGGAACCCGATAATAAGCGTCAATTTAAGTAAGTTAGTTTCAACACTAATTCGATCTTCACCTATATCTGTGGGGGAAGTTTAAGTTTCAAATAGCTTTGACTTTTTCTGTCATTTGTGAGTTTTATGGAATTCGGCAATTTCCACATGTACTTCGATTTTATATGAGTTTAGCATGATCGCTTTATTGTGATGGTCTTTGGTTTGTTGGAACTCTTGTGTTATCATTCTCCCAGGTTTCCATTTATTGCGTGCGAGATTTTCACGTGCGAGATAGATGTCATTTTCAAGACATTAGTTGAGGACGAGGAGGTACTTTCCAGTTCTTTATTTAGGAATGTGTATGTCGTGGCTAGAACATAATCATGACATGTTCATGATAATGTCCTACTAGACTCCTACAACAAATGAGGTGCTAACCTTGTTAATTTGATTGTATAATGATTTAAGGTTATGAGGTGCTTTCTTTAGGTTATTTATACCTTTGGATAAAATGAGACAAATGATGCAAGGCAAATCGGGTTGGATTCGTGCTGTGGAATTATAGTCTACTCACGTTCTCTTTCGCTGCAGCTCATGAATTACCTCTTTTCTTTTTTGGAGCCTGATCGACCCCATGGGACGTTGTTAGCAGGCTACTTTAGTAAGGTGAATATTTATCTTATTCCAACTCTGTAGCTCCAGCACTCTTTTTATTATGATGAATAGTTAGGAGTAGGGTTTCTAGATCCTGCAGAGCTTGAAGTCTTCGATTGTCTCAGCAGACTGTTGCTGATTTCAGATACTTTCCGCTAAGCTTTCTTTAGTTTTCTGTAGCTTATAAAAATTCCTTAAAGTCGGACAATGGTGAGCGCTGAAGGTTGATACTTGGATTACTTGTAGTAATTGGAATATGCAAAAGCCTTTGCCTGGTCATGAATACACTTTTAAATCTCTAAATTGTAACGTTGTTGGGTTCTGAAATGCAAGTGCAGGTCGTTATCGGCTTGCTTCTTAGAAAGACCGTTCCAGTCATGCGGTATTTACAAGTAAGCCTGAGAGCTCCCCATGCCCTATTTTCCTTTGTGCTTTTCTGTTTTTCAGGATTTGGTATATATGAGGGACGGGGTGGAAATTAGTCGGTGACCTCAGGTTATATTTTAGGAATGAATCACATCATAGTAGCAATTCTGACTCTTTGTGATGCATCAAGTTTTTTTCGTCTTGGAAATATCTAAAGCTTCGTTGAGCTTGTCCAGGCACATCAGGAGGTGTTGAAGAAGTTGGTTGATTTAATTGGTATTACTTCCATCATGGAGGTAAGTTGTTATCCGCTTAGCAATTTAATTGTTTCGTAATTGTGTTATTTGGAGGATTGTTCTGGTTTTATAGATTTTAAACCGCATCTTTTAAAATGTAAGTCTGTCTACACTTGTAGGTTTTGGTACGACTGGTGGGTGCAGATGAACACATATATGCCTTCCATGTGGACTCATTGCAATGGTTGGCAGACACTGATCTACTCGAGATGCTTGTAGACAAACTTAGCCCACCGGTACTTTCAACATTTACTTACCATGTTTATCTTTGACATTCTGGTTGGTGACGGAACTATTTTATAGACAGGAATCGGAACCTGGATACGATTGGGTCTATTATTACCATTTTTGTTCTTCTTCATGTACACTGTTGCTTTAGAAAGTCAGTAGGCATGTTCTGGTTTTATGCGCGACTATCATTGCTACGGTATGTTTATTCATTTGTCCTTGGTAACTAACGGATGGCCGTCTTGTTGTGTGATCCCAGCATTCTTCAGAGGTTCACGCAAATGTTGCAGAGACTTTGTCAGCTGTTACCCGCATTGCTCCATCTGCCCTTGCTTCAAAACTTTCGAGCCCAAAGTGCGTGTTTTATTCTTTGACTACTTGTTTTGTGCAGTTGACATGCGATGGAATTGTCTGAATATCAACTTGATATGTTAAGAAATAAATCATGTTCTTTATATCTCTATCTTTCCAACTGTTCGTCAAGCTTTTCCATTATCATCTATCTAGAGGTAGTGATAATCCTCGCATGATAGACTATATTGCATGGAATTATGAGATCCAGATTTCCGTTCGTGCAAGGCAGTTTAGTTGCAATGAAGAATTTTATTTTTTTGCTTACGCTTCCTTGCATTTGTTTTTACTTAAAATTTACTTTTCTTTGGCTCAATTTGGTAGGTTTGTGGGGCGCCTTTTTCATCATGTATTGGAGGATCCAGAGTCCAAGTCTACTCTTGTACATTCTCTATCGGTGTGTATATCTCTCTTGGATCCGAAGAGAGCTGCCAGTGTTGCAGCTGCAGGACTCGCTCGTGGTCAGCACGCTGCCGAACCTCTGTCTACTGCAAATCCGGAGACAGTCGAAGGGATGCTTCAAAGACTAGGTGAGTCGGTGTAATTTGTAATAGATGATGTGATGAACTTTTATCGAGATTCAGGCTAATTGTTGGTTGGGAATAACATAATTGTCAGTTTTAATGCCTCCATGAAGATTTAGTCTTCGCATGTGACACTGATATCCAGTTCCCTTTGTTTTTATCTGCAGGTGACTTACTTGCAGTATTGGATGTGTCAAAAGATGAAAAGACGTTGCCGACAACATATGGACAGCTTCAGCCACCTCTCGGAATCCACAGGCTGAAGGTCAGGCCTGGCCTTTCTGCGTTAGGATGGAGGCTTTCAGTTTCATGACTTTGTTATTTACGTGGACAGTGCTCCTTCCTGTTGCATTGTTAATTCATTTTTCTATGATCTCATTCTTTTGTTGGTGCAAATATCTTGGCAGATAGTGGAGTTTATTGCAGTTTTGTTAAGAGCAAACAGTGAAGGTGCTAGACACGAGTTGGTTAGCTCAGGAGCAATTCAGCTGGTGTTGAAACTGTTTTTTGAGTACGTTTATCACTTCATCATCTTCTTAGTTCCGAGTCATCTAGATTTTGGAATGTGCTAATTTAGTTACATTTCATTGTTAATGATCTGAAGCAGCAAGTGTTCTCGAGCCTGATCAGTATTATTCTCAAAGTAGTTAATTTTAATCTGAAACAGTTACCCCTTCAACAATATGCTGCACCATCATGTGGAGAGTATTGTAACTTCATGCCTGGAGAGCAATAACCAAATATTGGTTGACCACTTATTTCAAGACTGTAAATTTTTGGATAAACTCTTGGCTGTGGATGAGAACCCTTTTGCACCCGACAGTCGAGGAGAGGTGAGGATCTTAACTTGACAGTTTCTGTTCCCTTGTGATGGCTAAGCACACAGTATTGCTTGTTGCGTTTTCTTGAAAGTTCAGAGCACCTGGTCGTCTGGCTGACAAACTATAGATGATCATTGGATGTGCCTTCACTGATTCACTGCGGTTAATATGCATGACCTGAATGATGCCCTAAAATACATATTTATTCAGTTTGGATAAAGGTATGCCTGACATGTTTGTATGGCTTATGTTTTATCCTAAAATACGTTGTTCAAATCTCGCTCGCCCTATTGGTGTGCAGCCAAAGCCAGCAGTTAGTAAGTCACCCACAAGGATAGGTAGCATGGGGCACCTCACTCGTCTCGCAAACAAAATTGATCAGACTTCTACTTCGAATTCTATTGTTCAAGGCCACGTACAGGTACGTCTCCTTGCTTTAGCTGCACCGTGACACATTTATATTACATTTGTCTCTGTTGTCTGATTACAATTTTACTACATTTGTCACCGATGCAGGCTAATTCAAAGTGGAGTGAGTGGGTGCCCAAAGTTTTGCAGCAGCGGAATCAGATTGAGAATGTGTTTCAGTGGTCTTGTGGGTATGTCTCAATCTTTAGGATGCTAAGAGCCATGTTCCTGAACTTCATAAATTCTATGATCTACAAATTCTATCGTAATAGCATCAAGCTGCCGTTCTAAGGGAATTGCCCATTGTTTTACAGATTCCTTATTCATTCTATGGAATCCCGTTGCAAGTTAATGTGGTTTAGTACTGAAAAAATATTGATGTGACAATCTGATGTGTGTGAACAGACGGCCTGCAGCTGTCCAGGATCGCCAACTGGATAGCGATGATGATGATTTCAGTAATAGAGATTATGACATATCGACTATGGCCAATAACATAAATCGTGAAGTTTATCATTACGGCATGTTCGATAATGATGATGCTGAAGAGGTTTGTCTTATTGCAGTGTATTTCAATTTTTTTGAATGTTCAAAAGTTCTATGTACTTTTTTTCACTTGTTTGTGCAATTGTTGTTGCTCTTTCCTGTACTGGTTGTACTTGAGGTGTTTAGCAAATCTACCTACTCATTCTTACTTGCACCTTATTTCTCAACTTTGGCTTCGCAATACGCAGGGTCACGGGGCAATGGATAGAGATGAGGAGGTTCAACCTTTTACATATTATTCGATATCCTTCTTTGTGACATGAATATCATGTTGTTTGTGTCATTTGGATTATGGTCAAGAGTTGTAAGAGAAAAGTTCAACATATATACTTGAAGGGGACTGAGGTGTGGCCGTATTTGCAGGACATGTTTTTTGACGATGAATCTGCTGAGGTTGTCATTTCTTCGCTTCAACTTGGTGAAGAGCAAGATAGGTATTTTGAACACTACTTTATCTGTTTATTATTTCCATAAATTTAATGCATGTCAACGATACTTCCTTTTCCATCTGATGTTTTGCTGTAATTAGGATTGATTGATTGATGCTTTATTGTCTGTTGGGATCTCCAAATGAATGCATTTTCCCAGTTTATGCTCTTGTCCTGAATTCATTTGTTGTATGGGTTGTGACACAGTGGTAGGGCAGACAGTATATTCGGTTCGAACACCAACTGGTTTGCGTTTCAAGATGATTTTACTAAGTCAACAGAAGAGTCTACTCCAACATTCCTTGTAACATCTTCGTCTTCTCGGGATGAGGATGGGCCAGCTGCAAATGCTGTCTCTCCCCCTAAAAACAGTGGGGATAGCAGCTGCGACGACGGAGTGGTTCTAGAGGAAAGTGAAGGTCTCGTGGATAATGTCACTTCGGCTCGTGAAAAGGCTAACTTGAATGTTAAAGTTGAGCCCAATCTTCTCAATGAAGCGAACAACATGAGCAATGGCAGTCCAACGTACCAGTTTTTAGATGATACAGAAATAAGTACAAAACTTGAAATGGTTGATTTGTCGGGCAATCTCTCGTTGTTTCAGTCGCAACAAGAAGATTCTTCTGCCGGTGCGTTGCTTTCCACCGTTGCTACAAGTCAATGATATGTGGTTTTGCGACGTCAACTGTTGAGTTTTCCTTGTGCATTTGGCGTGATTTGAAAGTGGTTTGTCTGTTTCACTACTCATTTTTTCATTTTAATTTAATTTAATTTTTTGGGATCGAGGACTTTGACTTGTGTTGGGAACTTATTTTAAAGGATATTTTGCTGGGGCAAATGAAAATAACCTATTAGAAACCTATTTTTCAGTCCATATGGAGCCAGCTGGAGAGGCACCTGGTTCGCCTGGAGTGAAGAGTAATACGCTTTATTCTGGAGTTACAACTGCTCCTGCTGACCTCGTGCATGATCTTGTTCCAGGTGAAGGGCGTATGATTAATCCAATAACAGGTGAATATAATATCTTCCTTTCTTGTTATATATTCTTAATAAATCTTTAATGTTGGTTTGGACTTTGAAGTAATTTTAGGTTACTGGAGTGGCATTTTAATAATGGTAGGTTCACTTCGTTCACTTCAATTGGTCTGCAGTGGTCCTATTGCGTGCAATTTGGTTGGGTTCCTCGTACCACCTTATAAATGCTCTCCTCTAAGCTTTGTCATCTATTTCAGGTGAAGAAATCGCAGGAATAGAACCTGATGGTACAATCAAAGCCATGGAAAAAATGTTGAGAGAGGGAGTTGTAGGTGAGGCCGGACCCATTTTAAAGGATGTTCATCACGAAAGTGAGTTAAATCCTGTAACAAAGGATTCCTCTACTGATGGCTCGGACTTCAACGACGTGAATTACTGGCGTAATGATTACTCACAGTCAGTTGATGAGGATTAGTTGTGAGAATTTGTAATCCTGTTTAGTCTGGTTTGTATATCTCTGATGGGTACGACTTACCCATTTGCATGTATTAGGAGGGCTTACTTGAAGCCAGTTCTATAGCCCAGTTATCCTTCCATTAGTGTGTCCAATTACACCTTCATATCAGCATTCATTTGCTAGCAGCTTGGTGACCTGATTAGTGAAGTCACCAAGCAAGAGGCTGTCCTCTCCCCCTTCTGCAAGTTTATATTCAACTTGCTTTCAATTTTTTCTGAAACTACTTAACAGGGCAGGTGATTGATTGAGAAAGATATGATGTTCCCATTGCCAACAGAAACTCGTCTGTAATGCTGTATATAGGTGGCTCCCAATCAATTACTCGCTGCAGTGTATCTGTGAAAGTTGTGCAAAAGTGCTTGTTGATGTGTCGCTGCTCATCCTCTGGACATTTAAATACACTCTGGCAAATATTTGCACTTGTTATGCTCGCACTGTCGCACAGTTACCATTGAAACTGTGGACTTAATGGGCCTAATCTCAGTCAAGTGTGAAACTAACTGTTTACACCAGAAGAACAGATTTGCCAACTTTTCATTTGCTGAAATTTAATGACAGCTTGATTGACGCCAAGCTAAAGGTTCACTGTTCTGATTCTAAAGATCCCAGAGTTCTAATTAGATGAATAAACAAATAATTAATTTTTTAATAAATACAACTATATTCTCTGTAAGGAACTCAACATACACCGTAAGGATAAGAAGTCAATCCAAGGTTTTTTGTTTCACTAATGATGAGTGAGAAATAAATTTAAAAAATGTTACAATTTGGATTTATTTCAATAAATAAGGCAAAACAGAAATTTTATATTTGATTATAGTTTTTTATAGAGGAAACAACCATTATACGTAAAGTTTCAATAACGATTCTGCCTACCTGGAGTATGAAACTATATTCAATTTCATTAAATAATACTTCTTCAAATTCTATAAGTTGAAATGAATCACTACATAGACTATTCTTCAAAAGTTAAAACTGAATATTGGATTTTAAAATCACATATAATCTACTAATAGCACGTATCAAAAACAAATTGATTATTCATAACATGTACACAATAATAATCGAATAGAGAACTGATTTAATTTTACATTTTAGAATCTTGTACAAGAATTAATAATTATTTTATAAACTTGTTTTACATTAGTAACTTAATCTTATGGTTTACAGTTCTTTTTATATTTGTGCTTAAAAGGCATATGTGTATATATATTTATACACATTCTAAGAACTGTTTGAAGTTTATTATCATCATTAAAACTATTTTTAAAAATGAATAACATTATATAAAAGTAAAGAAAGGATTGGTGTTGATACAAAAAAAAAATCATTCTCACCATCTAAAACTGTTAAGTTTTGGATAGAAACTGAAAGGAGAAAAAGAAATCAGTCTCCGTATGTTTCATCTACTTCTTCTTGTGATTATTTTATTTATCTTAATTTTAATTTATTTAAGAAACGACAAAAATAAAATAAATAAATGAATAAGATTGAAACAATTATATAACAATGGGCCACTTAGCCACCTGCTACCCAAGTAAGACAAAAGCCACGCACGGCTATAGAACTTTACTGGCTATAGGGACCTCCCGGATACAGACTCCTAACGGGAATAGACTCGTGAACGGCTGTAGGAGCCATTGGTAATAGACTGCGAACGGGTATGGGCTCGGTCCGTTCGGCGACACAGGGCGGGGGAGGGGTCACGAATCGATGCAGACCCAGCTGGGTTTGTCTTCACCCATCGAACTGTCGCGTCAATGTGCGAAACAGAGCACAGGATTGAGGTATTCTGATTGCGCATATTTTGGTGGAAGCCTGAGAACGGACGTCGCAGGTGTCGGGAATGTGGGTGCATCTAGGTTGAGGTATTTTGTCGCAGTGGGAATGTCTTGTGGGTCGGAAACTGGTTGAGGAGACGTGCTACCACTCTGGATTGTTCGAAGCGTCAAGGGATTTTTCCCGTGTTCCCAGACTAGGAATAGAGTCTGAGAAGTTCGATTTTTCATTGCGCGTCTAGGGAGCTCCGTCTTAAACTACGAAGGAGCTAGGTTTGGAAGCGTTGTTGGGTTTGAGAAGATCTGAAGTTGCCAAGAGGTAGGAGTAGCTTGTGCCTGTGAGACGGGCTCGCCAACATGGCGAAGAACGGGATTAATAACAGTGTCGCCGTCGGCATTGCTGTACAATCTGACTGGGACAATCGCCATTTTTCGAGCTCCCTGTCGCTGAACGTCCGGCGCCTTTTCGAGTTCCTTTTGCAGTTTGGTAAGCGCTACACTCATTTTCTCCTATTTCTCTTCTTTTCTAGTTTCCTCGAGATCTGGCTACAACTTGCTGCCCCTTTCATTTTTGCAAAGACGCTAAGTCTCAGTCATTATGCTCATGTTCATTATCACTCTGCAGAAACCTAATGAACATTCCATACCTTTCACCACGCTAAACCTAAAAGAACCGAAGATTCTAGACTTTTGTAGCATTTCTCCAACTGGATTGTAAGCATATGTCGTCTATGATTATATTTCATGTTCTGTCATATGTTTCTCACTGTGTCGTAGCCCTAATGGGGCCACAAGTTCTTAATACTATGGCTGAGGGTTTCGAACTCCTATCAATTACAGCAGAGGGGCAAACCAAAAAAACACGAGAGATAGTTGCAGTTGGACTAAGTAATGTCTATTTTCCCTACTAACCGGGAAGTCATGTGTTGCAACATGCAGAATCGTCCACCAGGAGTAAGCTAGCAACCCTGAACGAGAAGCTAACGGTGCTGGAGCGTCAGCTGGAGTTTCTAGAGGCTCAGTTTAGCACTGCCATTAACCCTGTCTAAGCTCTCTAACCATCATTTCATGTGACCCTCAGGATCTTGAATCGCGTTTTAACTTTGAGATAGAGATGTACCTTGTGTACAGAACTCTCGTTTTTAACGGATTTCTAGATTGTGCACATTTCTGGCATATTTTTTTCGAGCTCACGGAGTTGAAGACTTGTATTATGTAAAACTTGTATTAGGTAAGCCTTGCAATCTTAACTGAGTTTTAAAGTTTCGTTCAATCAAGTTGATAAACTTGAGCATTTGAATTCCAACATTCAGCTACATCTTCTCGTGCTTAGCAACGGTGTAATGATGCTGATAACGCAATTGTTAATGTAGAAACTCACCGTCAACAAACTTCTGAAGCTTGTTGCTTCCCATTCATGAATTTTCTAAGAGCCTTGACGTATTGAGGGGATCAAGAAAACCAACGTTTCGGAATTGACTAGTATCTTATTAACGCTTTTCCATATTAAATGAGACGCTCGCACTTCGCAGTGTCCACTTCAGAGTCATTGCAGAGGCTACAGCTACACATCAGCTGTGTCTGTTGGAAAACAATCTGACTATAATTTGCCTAATATTACTTGTCCTCAGAGCCAAGCGTGGCACCATCCTGTCTTGAAACCAGAAGAATCTAAGAGACGATATTATTAAGCGGTTCAATAAGCTGACTGAACCATTTGTACTGCTGCTGAACAATTGGGTCTGCAAAAAATTTAAGTGTGATACTAAGGTTGTAACTATCAACAGCAAGCATGATTGAACAAATGAGGTTGGCCTTCATATTCCTAGATGTCAAATTGAACAGATATAATGAAGATACTATAGTAATTTGTATTTAGATGAGAATATTCAACCCAACTTTTCAGCCACTAACACACAAGACGCTGACAACAGAATCATATCAGAATGCGTAAATTCCTTCAGCAAGTACACAAGAAATCCACCCCGTTATTTATGGAAACACAAACTAATGCGTCATCAGGACTGAAAGAAACTTCAAAACTTTTTAAAGTTTGCGAATCACCTCAAAATTCTTTGATGTCTAGAATCTAACATGAGGTAACATTCCAACTAATATAAAATAGTCTACACAGGTGCGGAATATCCTTGACATCACGAAAAGTCCAACGGTCCTTTTACTTCACGAAGAGGTTTTCGAAGGTGGTTGCATTATGAATTGCAATCTCTCAACAAGCACCAAACTTACTAGACATCGTTGCCAGTTTGAGGGAGAAATAAAGAATGAAGTCGCTAAATTGGGGCCGTTTGAAAACAAGGGAGTAGTGAATGTGATACCCGGCAATGATGGTCAAAGCCATCAACAAATTTGTTACAGCTTCTGCGATGCTTGCTGTACTTCCGAACGTACAAATCAATAACACCGCAGGATTTTTTTTGTTTTGTGAATAAGAGGCAAAATGAAAAAGCAATAGAGAAAGCCTATCCAATGGGCCAGTGCGCAAATTTTGAATTTAAAGAAGAGAGCTCCACAGGACCTTGATTATGCATTCGTCTGTAATAGACTTGAGGTAGATGAAGTCATGCCTCCTGATATGTGTGGAAAATGACTGTTTAATTCATATTCTGATAAGAGCCAATTCTTCAAGACCCCAGGGTCTGCCCGGTTGATTGCCGAACACCGCACACAGAGCAGCAACCCCGTAATGAACTGCACAATGCAGCAATTCAACAACAGTGGCTCAGGAAGTCAAATTTAAAGAGGCGTTAAAAGCTCAAAAAGTGTGGAGGCAAAACATTCAACTTCTGTAAGTACAAAAAGGCGTCCGTAGTGCAGAGGAAGATTAATCACCAAAGGGGAATAGAGTGCAAAGGCTGCGGATTCCAACCCGCCGCTCCATGAGAAGGGGACCTAAAAAACATAGTAGGCGGTGGCCAGCAAGAAATAGATTGTCATCGTCACCACCTGGTTGTAAACATACATCGAGTAGTATAAACATTGTTATATAACTTTCGGGATTGCATGTAGCGAAATGCACCTTGTAAGGGATATTGTTTTTCTTTTTTTCTTTTTCTTTTTTCTAAAAACAGGGTTTTATTGAGAGGTCTCTTTGAAACTCCCTACTACAGCACAGCCCCTAAAATCCGCTCGGAAATTCCATCATAAAGTTGTGCACGCAGACGTTTATTCATCGTCAACTTCAGTTGAGAGTCCATAGAGACGTTGGACAATCGTTTTAAACCTCCAAGGGAAAGGTTCGGGAAATCTGACCTGGAACAAGTGAACTGGAAGCAGCCAGCCATGACAACGCACCATTAGTGCCTCGTTGCATGAGGTACGCTCGACAAAGCAACGAAGCCTGCATTACTAGGATAACGATGCTCGTCTATTATGCACGCAATTTTTCCTGCAGGGTTCATAAATGCGAAGGTTGATCATCATAAATAACCCTGTTCCACTGATATTTCTATTCCACATTTTTCCCCTGAATTCTACCATTTCTTTACGATACAACTGTACAATTTCAGTTCGAAGGAGATGTTATAATATCCGCCTATGTCTACGATTGGATAGAATGAGTTACCGTCAAATCCCACGCACCATTAAAAATGAAGAATGTCACTACATAATACGATCCCGTCGACAGGTTTTGGTCACCTAAGAGGGACGATTGACAAGCAGATCACAAGCCACAACGAACGTGAAGAAAGCAATGATCGAGGCAGACTTGAAAACTTTCCGGCTCTGAAAAAGTTCATAATACAAAACGACGTTGGGAAGCCTCAAAAGGTTCGAAATAAAAACAAACTGTCCAACCGCAGTTGAGTGGACTGCGCGAGAAGAAAAACAAAGTGATAATTACCTACGTTACAAACCATTCATTCCTCAACACGAGAACCAGACCAGAAAAATTCAGAACGCCGCAATGTATGTTGCATGCAATGCACAAGCTCTGAGCCAAAAATAGATCACTCTGACGTGCTGGTGTATACAATCACAATCATCAATGAATCACGCTTGAAGAGAGTTCCATCCTGAAGCTAATTGCTAACCAATGCCGTTGCATCGACTTCACAATCTACGCCCATTATCGTGGTGAAAATCATGCAAGAAGAATGCAGACCGCATCGACAAAAAAATTCAAATAAAACGCATACTCAATAACGACGACATTTCGGGCAATACTGAAAAGAACAAACTCTAAGAAACCCGCACTGTTGCAGAGATTCCAACCCTGAAGCACGAATTGGAAGTCTCCAAATCATTGGACACTCAAATCAACTGGAAATAATGCCTACAGGTTCACAATCCCCTTAAGAATACTCTGATTGACTCCAACCAATTGGACCACAAACACATAGAACAATCTATTCCCTGAGACGCATTGGATGGTCGGATCGAACCTCTTTAAACCTGAAGCCAACACGTCCTCCCATAACTTCACCAGCTAACAAAATATCAACAACGTCCGACAACAATTGTGACATGCCAAACAAACAAACAAATCAATGATACGATTACTCCAAGACCCGATTCGAAGAATTAAACACGAAAACTTCCTGAATACATGTGAATGAATTACGCAAATTCACAGCTAAAGGCCGACACCAGTTTTCATTTCCAGGAAGCCGGAAAATCGGACTAACAGTTATAGAAATCTGAGTGACAATAAATAAATGTGAGGACCTAGGAGTAGAGAGAGAGCAGGCGAAGAACAATGCATGCAGTCAAGCAGCAACGAAACCAAATCCATGAAGAAGAGGCGGACCCTTACGAGCAGGAAGAGAGAGAGCAACAGGCACGACGCGCACGACGCACACGAGCCAAGCGCCTGCAGCCAGTTGCGCGACGGAGGAGGTTTCGATTGCCTACATAAGTATCGCAATCAACAGAATCAATGGAGTTGTCGTGCCTGCCTGCACCTATTCTCCGACGGCGATAGGAAACACAAACCAGGGTCTCAGTTCTCAGCGAATTCCGCAGGGATTTGTGCGATCTGCTTCTGTCTGGCCAGGGAATAGCTATTGTGACAATGCTCGAAGACAGACTGCGAACCTACGACTTGTTCGCTTCGCATTACGGTGAATTCGGTGCCATCTCCATCGCCATCTCTGTCTGTCTCCGTCTCTCCCAATCTTCGTGACGCTTCCCATCACTTAACCCCGGTTAAACAATACATTTGAGAATGAAGAAGTTTCCTGTGTAGTACACATACAGTATTGTAATGGTGTATTGTGATAACCGAATTTGTACTTTTTCATACGTATAATATACTTAGATGAATGAAGTAAGCTGATTGTTCACAGTGGGTCTAGGGTTCATCCGTAATTTCTGTCAATGAGGGTTGAGGAGCGGAACTTGAGAAAATTTGTTCAATATTTTTAAAATTTTAATACTGTTCTGTAAATATATTTTCAGTGATGCTTATGAACCAGAATGAAACAACTACAAGATTCAAATTTATGAATAAATAAACAAATAAAACCAAATCGACTATATACATGTAGGTTTCTGTGGGTTTTTTTTAGAATGTCCACCAAACAATAAATCAATGATAATAATTTTCAGTTAGTTGAAATTTGAAGTGTTAAAATGGTTGAATCGTATGGAGCAAATGAAAGATGAAAAGTTGAATTTGTTTTTTTTTATTTTTATTTAATCTAAAGAATGTGTTACACACTTTTGTCTCCTTTTCAATGCTTTGTATGTGTACACATTTATCCACATATTCCAAGTTTGTATGCAAAAACGGTTTAAAGAGCATTTATAACATATGTCGGTGGAATACATGATCATAAATTTATATATGAAACATTGGAAAGTTGGCATAAAAATTGAGAATAATTAGTAATGACAATTAACATGTAGTGTTGAAGTTGTTGATAATTGTGGTTTTAGAAAAAAAAAAAAAAAAAAAAAAAAAAAAAAAGGAAAAAAGAAGGAAAGAAAGAAGAAGCACATAGAGATATTTAGAATTTGTAGAAAATAACACCATTCAAAAAACAGCTTTATCTGTTTTTCATTTTACAATACAGATACATAAATCACTGCTTTCACATGTATAATAATACTATTAATAACAAAACTACCAAGATTACAAGAGTAATCAAAATAATTTATTATAGATTGTTGATTTTAAAAATAATATTACGAAAAAAAGATGTCGACAAAACTATTTTTTTATATACTTGCATCCAATTCTTTGAAATATAGTTTCCAGAAACCTTCGATACATTCAAAAGAATACTGAAAGAATATGAAGCTCTGAAATTGAGTAAAACTCATATTATGATATTTGTATTGATTTTAAAAGTGTCAATATATATATATATATATATATATATATATATATCTCTTATTCAATCATTTTTTGAATAATACTCTTTTTTACCAGAATAAAATCAAAAATAGAAAACATGTGTATATATACATATTGTGGGTCTTGCCATTTCATTGTAATGTACACAATTGTTATAATATAATTTATGCAATCATATAATACTTGTATCATTACTTTTTAAATTAATTTGTAATAAATCAATGATAATATATATATCTATATATATATATATATATATATATGCACACACACATACATACATACACACATGCTTAAATTACACAGAGTTCTGCAAATGCTTTCATGTGAAATACTAAGCTTGAAATAACTACTATAAAATTTATAAAAAAATAAGAATAAATAAAATAAACTTTTAAAGTAAATCATATTTCATGCCATTGGACTTTTTGAAATAATTTCAAAAAAATGTAAAGTTATTTATCACAAAAGATATGTGAAAAGAAAGCACAGGAAGATAATTCTTTTATTGGTTTATCAAATAATTTTGCAATATATATGCACAATTTTACTGCATATTTTTTAAATATTATTTTTGATGAGTTTATTTTCAATATATTCCTCCACAATTATTTTATGTTTTTTTCGTTCATCTTTTGTATTATTTAACTCCTTATATATTTCTAAATACTTATTTTATACAACAATGTAAAAGCTTAAAAAAGAAACGTTTAAAAAAATTATCTATTTAATATTAAATTATAGATGTATATATATATATATATATATATATATTATCATGTAACCTCCATTAAAAAAATAGTTTTAATGATTACATTTATTGATTCTACAATGTTTCGATGATTAGAATTGGATCACTTAAAGCAAACTTCCAATCTAATTACCATGGAGGATAAATATTTAAAATAATATACATCCAATATTCTATTTTAATAAACCTATTTTAAAGTTATATACATATATATATATATATATATATATATATATACACATCTAATTTAGTAGTTCATAGTCCAAAAGCAATGAGAGTAGTGTAAAGGAGAAAGTATCCCAAGATAAAATGCAATGTCTCAAAATAATATAGTTTGAATAAGTAAATCAACTTGTGCACAAAACTAACAAAAACAACACCTCCTTGGTTAGAATCACCCTTCCCATATGAAAGAGTCTCTCTAACACATCCAATTTTTAAAATATTTATTAGAGAAAGGATTTTGTACCTTGCATGCTATGCTAGAGGTAGCATGTGACTATGAAATAAGGAGCAAAATCCCCTAACTTAGATTCATCGCCTTACATGACAATTTTCTAAGCACTATTCATTCAAAAGTTGAATACATATATGTATATATATATATATATATATATATATATATACATTTACAATACTTGTTAGAATTAGATAAATTTGCAAATAAAAATTTCTTCCTTTCATCTACTTGGTTGTCCTTGCGCACTTCTTCATCCATACCTAACTTATGTAGCAATTACACACATAAATGTGAAATCAACATAGAACTATTTATTAAAAAAATGGGAAAACCTAATACTTCACATGGTAGTCATATATATTTATATATATATATATATTATAAAATTAAAAGAAGAAAAAAAGATGGTGAAGAAGCTTTATAGAAAAGTGATTACTACGAGCGAATGCGACTCCATGAAGGCGCAGTAAGCATTGGGGGGGGGGGGAGACAAGGTCTGACCCATATACCGGGGAACGGATGGGGTTCCTTGCACCGAGGCCGCGACTGTATAGTCGACGCTATACGGTCTTAGCAGGAAACGTTGTGGTGACGGGAACGACGCGATTGGCGCTGCTTCCTCCGCCTCCGGACCCAAGATAGAACCGCCGAGGGCTCATCTGACAGGACAGCCTGAAGGCGGGACCTCATCGCAGGGCCCAGAATCGAAGAAGAGCGGGGAGGATGCTGCTGCCAGTCCATGTTGCCTCGTTGCGAGGAGGTCCCCCGTTTCCCTAACGCAGGGACGCCAGCAAGAGCCACAGGCAAAAGGTATCAGGATTGGTGGCTTCGCGCTGGACCATCGGAGGGTGGGGAGCGGTCTGCCGGTCTGCCGCAACGGCGAGGAGTGCGAGAGAGCGAGAGGCCTTGAAAGACCAGTTGCGGGTTTCGGCGACGCGCGGGTGCAGCGAGCGAGTCCACTTTGATTGCGCCGCAGCCGCGGACAGGTTTCGCCTCCTGGTGCCATGCGCGACCGGGCGGTAGCGAAGGCACTCGGACACTGCCTTCTTTCCTCGCTGTCAACCTTTGCGCGACACATCATTTGAATGGTTACAGAGGTTTAGGGACCCATCCGCTGGAAAATGGACTGTGCCGTCAGTACTCGCAAATGACAGCTTAAGGAATCTAGGGCGCAGAGAGTACGTGTATACTGGATTGCATGCCTTGCTCTTATGAAAGTCTTGCGATCCTTCTTGTCACAGGTTTCGTATTGCGTTCATGAAACCCTCTTGCATAATCCTAGTTGTGCTTGGATTCCTAGAACTAAATCTTAAGTCTGTGTGTTCCTGAAAATTCTCCATCTCTCTCCTCATATAGTCGCAGCTTTGCCTTACTTTGCTTTCGCACCTGACTATTCCTTTGTGCACTCTGATACGGGCTGTGTAGCACTGTAAGCACATTAGTACTTCGGCCATAAAACCACGACGCAAAATTACTTAAAAAGTAGTGTTCACTCCACTGCATGGCGAATGCTATTTAAGATATTCAAGATTGAGCAATCAAAACACGATAATAGTTTTTGCAGAGAAAACGCATTAAGAAAATTTTATGCTAGATTCTTACAAACAAAAACAAAATAAAATAAAATAAAAGTGCCGGTTACCAATGCAAGCAAAGTAGTAACGCAGCTAGAAAAAACTAAAAGTTCTTACATCCTGTTGCAACCTAACAGCTTTACATTCTGTGCAGAGAAAAAAGGTGCTTGACGAAACATACAAAATAGAATAATGTAACAAGCATCGGAGCTACAAACGACTCAGGAGTACAAACTAAAATTGCAACACAGTTGCAGCTACCAAATTTTAGAGGACAACAAAACATCCACTCAAACTGTGAAGGGAAGCAGAAGAAGCCACTGGTGGTTGTTGGAAGCATTTGAGGGAGTGTTCGGAAATCGCGGTTTGCAAGGTAGGTGTGACGATTACGGCAGCTCCGGGAATTTAATTCCTGCATTTTGCTTTTCTGGTTCTTGTGCCCTAAAGTTTTGCTCAGTTCTGTAGTCACTCGCTTCTCCCCTTGACGCCTCTTTGAGGAGCTCCCGGAGCCCTAACCGAGAGAGGTTTGGCGCGACATCTGAGACGAGACTGGTCTACCGTAGGAATGCTGAGGCAATGGGACTGCGGGGTGGAATTCAGCTGAGTGCGCTTGGTGGTGCGGGATCGTAGGTTGAGAGATTTGTGGCGTTCAGTCGTTGCAGGAGGATGGAATTGTGATTGAAGTTGGTAGTGTGCAGCTGTGAAGTGAGTCTGGGTGAGAGGAGGTAAATGGGGAAGTCGGGGGATACTACGAGAACATGGTGCCGAATGGTGTCGTTCCAATGCAGCTGTGGTTACGAGGGGTTTGCACTTGAACGTTAGGGTCCGAGGTGGTTGAGATCCATTCGTTTGAAGCGCACAATGCCCTGAACTGTGGGGCTGTGGAGGATTTGTGGAGTGTGGGGCATGCACCTCGTGTCTGCTGAGTTTCTTGCAGTGGAGCTGCAATGTGTCGTATAGTCACGGGTTTGGTATCGGCGTTGTGAAATGCTAGGCCGCGCATCTCGGCGGCGGTGGGTGGGTGGGACTGGTTACGTTCGCTGTAGTTTCGCACACCCCAGCCAGGAGTGGGCGTTCGCTTCTGGGCACACGCAGAGCGCAGCGAAGTGTTGGGCTGTGGCGTGGCGGGTGCGGGATGTGTTGCGAGTGGCGGTGTGGGGTGCTAAGGGTCGTCGGCTACTGCGTGGGACAATTGCTGATATTTTCCGTTACAGGTGCACACGTGCTGTACGAATAGCGGCCTTTGGACATCTCATCGAATAGCGACCTCAGCGATGCTGGTTCTGTGCTAGGGTGAAAGGTGGTTGATGATATCTCGTGGAGCGTGTGGATGGGAGTAGGGTCGATCTTAGGTCAGGATGGTTTCTGAGGTGTAGTGCGTCGGTGGACGAGCACCGAGTAGAATGGTCTG